ATTTATTTGACAGAGAGAGACACAGCGAGAGAGGGAACACAAGCAGGGGGAGTGGGAGAGGGAGAAGCAGGCTTCCCGCAGAGCAAGGAGCCCGACGCGGGGCTCGATCCCAGGACCCTGGGATCATAACCTGAGCTGAAGGCAGATGCCCAACGACTGAGCCACCCAGGCGCCCCCTGGGGTGCATTCTTATGAGTGGGGATCAAATGACTATAAGCATGAGATTGCCTTTCTCAACACTTGGCTAGCATGACTCTTATTTCCCTCTTTGCTTTGGCTGCTAAAAAGCTCAGAACTTTTCTATTTCTTCATCTGTATTTTCTCTTTGTCCCAATTTTCTTAATTATTGACTTTAAGCCTTAAAAAAACCACTCTATTGGGGCGCCTGGGTGACTCAGTCAGTTAAGCATCTGCCTTGGGCTCAGGTTATGATCTCAGGGTCCTGCTCATCGGGGAGTCTGCTTCTCCCCCTCCTTCTGCTCTTCCTCCTCTCCCAATTGTGCTCCCTCTCTCTCCTTCAAATAAATAAATAAATAAATAAATAAATAAATAAATAAATAAATAAATAGATAAATAAATAAATAAATAAATAAATAAAAGTTTTAAAAACAAAACCCCAAACCTCTCTATTATGGAATACTTCAAACATGCAAAAAGTAGAGACAATATAATAAGTTGTCATGTTCCGGGGTGCCTGGGTGGCTCAGTCTTTAAGTGTCTGCCTTCAGCTCAGGTCATGATCCTGGGGTCCTGGGATCAAGCCTTGCATCGGGCTCCCTGCTTGGCGGGAAGCCTGCTTCTCCCTTTCCCACTCCCCCTGCTTGGGTTCCCTCTCTTACTGTCTCTCTCTCTGTCAAATAAAAAAAATTAAAAATAAAATAAATTGTCATGTTCCTATCATCTATCTTCAATAATTATCAATATTTTGCCAATCTTGTTTTAATTACCTCCCCACTTTTCCCTCTCTCTGGAGTATTTCTAAAGCAAATCCCAGACATCATATCATTTCATCCAAATTATTTCAGCATATATCTTTAACAGATAGGTCTGTTTCAAACATAACTATCATACCTAACAAAATTAATAAAAATTCCCTAAAATCACTCAATGCCTAGTTCATGTTCAAATTTCTTTAATAGTTGGTTTGTTCCAATCAGGATTCAAATGAGGTTCACACATTTCATTTGTTGATATGTCTCTTAAGTAACTTTTAGTCTGTAACAGTTCCACCTTTCTTTCCTTTTTTTTTTTTCATGCTATTTATTTGTAAAAGAAACCAGAGCGTTGTCCTGAGAGGTTTCCCAAGTCGCAGAAGTTTGGGCTGATTGCTTCCTAATGGTGTAGTTTAACTTGTTCTGTCATTTGTATTTCAGTAAACTGAAAGTTAGATCTAGCGGCTTGATTAGATTAGGTTTAATGATTTTGGCAAGAATAACTTATTTGTGTACTTATTTTTAAGTCACATCTGGAGGCACATATTTAGTTGAAACATTTTTATTGATTGATCTGTCGGTCAGGGCTCTTGGCCTGCTCTCCTCATTATGAAATTCCTCATCAATGTTTTTATCTATTAGTTTTAGCATCCACCTATGATCCATCATTTCCTTAGCTGTTATAAAAAATTTTTCTCTTTTTAAAATATTTTATTTATTTATTTTAAAAGATTTATTTATTCACCTTAGAGAGGGTGGTGGAGGGGCAGAAGGAGAGGGAGAAAGAGTCTTAAGCAAACTCCCCACTGAGCATGACGCGTAGGGTGGATCTCATTCCTGGAGACCACAACCTGAGCCCAAACAAAGAATCAGACACCCAACCGCCTGTACCACCCAGGAACCCCAAGTTTTTATTTATTTTTAAGTAATCTCTACACCCAGTGTGGTGCTCGAACTCATGACCCAGTGATCTAGAGTCACACGCTCTATCAACTGATTCAGTCAGGCGTCCTGAAAGGTAATTTTCTCATTCTGTCATTCTTTTTTGCATTCATTACCTGAAATTCTTACATAAAGAACTTTTCCTCATTCATTATTTGATCCTCCTGAAATATAATAGGATAAATGCTTGATTTCTCTTATGTAGGTTTATAATTTGCGTGAATTCTTTTGTGGAAAAAGATGTGAAGAGAAGGCAGGCAGAGCAGTGGAGTGGAAGGAGCACTGGCCTTAGACTCAGAAAGCATCCTGACTCCATCACTTACTGCCTGTGTGACCTTGGGCAATCCCTCAGCCTCAGTTTCCTTAATTGCCAATTGGGCATACTGATCCCCAACTTCCCCAAATCTTTAGTAGACTCATTTCAAGGCCATGATCAAGCAATTCCTTGTACCAGAAGTAAAATGTATTCATTGTGGAAAATTTAGAGGATGCAGATAAACACAAAGAAGGGAATATAAGGGGCGCCTGGGTGGCTCAGTCGTTAAGCATCACCCTTCAGCTCAGGTCATGATCCCAGGGTCCTGGGATCGAGCCCCGCGTCGGGCTCCTTGCTCTGCGGGAAGCCTGCTTCTCCCTCTCCTACTCCCCTGCTTGTGTTCCCTCTCTCACTGTGTCTCTCTCTGTCAAATAAGTAAATAAAAAAATCTTTTTTTTTTTTTAAAAAAGAAGGGAATATAAGCCTTGTGAAAAGCATCTAACACATGCCTGACATAAAGCAGGTACACAGCACCGCAAGATTTATTTATTTTTTAGAGAGAATGAGAGAGAGAGAGAACGAGCCTGAGTGGCAGGAGTGCAGGGAGAGGGAGAGATCTCAAGCTGACTCCCTGCTGAGCATGGAGCCCAACATGGGTTCCATCTCACGACCCTGAGATCAGGACCTGAGCCGAAACCAAGAGTGGGACACTTAGCCAACTGTGCCATCCAGGCGTCCCTAGCAGGTATTTTGACAACTCAGTCTTGCTTCTCAGGCTGCTCTGTGTCAATATCCTCCTGAAAGAGAGTAACTTTACTCAGGGGTGACTACAGCCTCAGCCCCAGAAAACCCCAGCAAGAGTGAGAGAGGGGGTTGCAGGGAGGGAGCAGGAGGTAGATTCCTCTGGTCTTATGTCAAGAGCTAGTAAACTGAAGTTAGGCAGCTTTGCCACAAACTTGCAGTGAGTTCCTGGGAAAGTCACTTGACCTCCTGAGCCATAGTTTCTCACCTGTAAGATGGAGGTTGTCAAGGGCGACCTGTCAGAGTTGCTGGGAGTTGTTCGTGTGGACATGGGCGTGCCCATCTCAGTGCCAGCCTTTGGGAGCTCAGGGAATGAGTGTTAGCTGGATCTGAGTCTAGGAGCTCCCTCTCTGAGCTTCCCTTAAAAGTAAAGTCACTCACAATTGTCTCCTGTGACTGAGGGGCTCTGTGGGGCCTGGCTTGGAGCCCAGCTTTGTCATAGAAGTGCTAGGTGCGCTGGATAAGCCTCTTCCTTTCTGGAGCCTGGATTCCTCCATTTGTGAAATGGCCAGATTAGGGATCCAAATCCAGATGCCCCCAGGAGCAGGCAGGCAACAAGAGAGTAAAGCGGGGGACGAGTTGAGACAATAGAGGGTGGTGGGGGCTGTGGCTACCTAATGAGCTTGCCTGATTTAAGAAGGGCTGCCACTCATCCTGCTGATGCTTACAAAACAGGAATGTGAGCCCAGGTTGCCAGACTTTTAAAGAAGCTGGAGGGGCTCCTGGGTGGTAAATTGGTTAGGCGTCCAACTCTTGATCTCCGCTCAGGTCTTGATCTCAGGGTCTTGATTTCAGGTCATGAGCTGGGCATGGAGCCTGTGAAAGAAAGAAAGGAAGAAAGGAAGGAAGGAAGCAAGCAAGCAACCTAGCTAGCTAGCTGTATTTTTAATTTAAATTAAAGCAATGGCAAGTTATTTGGGTTATTCAGCAACCTGTGTGGACCAAACAAATGTAAAGTAGTGTTAAGAGCATGGGCTCTAAAGTAAGAGATGTTTGTGTGCCAGCTCTACTACTTAATAACTGTGTGTCCTTGAACAAACCATTTAGCCTCTCTGTGCCTCACTTTTCTTATCTGTAAAATGGGGATAATTATTGCACTTGCTTCACAAGATTGCTATGAGGATTAGATGAGCAAAGATAGGACTAGGGTGAGGTTAATGAGGAATCATCTTGGGTGTAAGATTTAAGGGAGCACCAAAAAACTCAAGAATCAAGTAGGGACACCTGGGTGGGTCAGTCAGTTAAGC